ATCGCTGGCAACACGCCAGCTGTCTCCCACGAGCTGATTGGGACGTTATGTTATAGTATGGTTTTGGACGGTATTTCCCTACGCCCAGTGCACTCTCCTCACTCACACACTCACTCACTCACTCACTCCACTTCTACATCACTGCATCCCTCACTCCCACGAACCTTGTCTAACTTCTGCGAGTCGGGGAGAAACTCCACCCCCGTGGCAACGTGCTTATATGAAAGGTGAGGAAAGAGCGGCACCAATGCATAAGGCAAGCGCGTGACAATGTCCCAATCGTTGGCAACACGCCAGCTGTCCCCCACCACCTGGTTCGGTTGTGTTGGGATAGGTTGGGTTTGGTTGGGAGGAGGGGATGCGAGGAAGGGGAACGGGAAAGGGGGAATGGGGGACGCAAAGAGGAGCGACAGTATCAACCAAACAGGTGTGTGGGGACAAGCAGGGCCTATAATTAGAACCCAATTTCCATGTGGCTAAGTCCCTTCGGAAATTGACTTACACTTGTCCTTGGCCTTTCCATGCTCTTTCTAAGCATTGTACTTAAGGACCTACCAACTAAGGGATACACACCTGCCTGAAGCGAGCAGCAAAGGCACGGTTGCCGACACGGGGGGAGCCGAAGTTGTACAGAGAGAGGGTGAAATCATGCTGCCTGTGGTGGAGACAAGGAGAGATTGTATATATGTGTATATATACATGTAAGGATTCGGGATATCCATGCATTAATTAATGAGCTCGAGGCTCTTAAGTACATCGGAAATGAGCAAGAAGGGATGGGTTGAGAATCAGGGGCAATTCCAAATAAGATTTCGGTTGAAGATTCCCATCTTATTGTGAATTGCCCCTGATTCTCAATGGGTTGGCTGAAATCTTCAATTGGTGGGTTGGAGATTTCGGTTGATCAGAGAACCCACAAAAGCTACAACTGCACTAAACTAGGATACAAAGAGAACAAAGTACAAAGGCTGAGATTGAAGTATAACTTTAACAATACATACTTGCATTATATATGAGCGAGGGCACTCAATTCGTTTTGTCATCACAAATCCACCACTTGCCTTTTCTAATGTCAATCTCATCTTCATCCCACTCACCGCCTGAGGTTGGGTGGACTGGGCAAGGTCGTATGTGAAGAGCGTGGAGAGTGGCGAGAAGCTCTCATACCACACACTCAGTCAGCTGCATCCCACTCGCCTCTTGAGGTCGGGTCGGACTGGCCAAGGTGAAAAGCGTGGAGAGTGGCGAGAAGCTCTCATACCACAATCAATCAGCTGCATCCCACTCACCTCTTGAGGTCGGGTCGGACTGGGCAAGGTGAAAAGCGTGGAGAGAGCGCCGCCACAGCAAAGTTGTGGCGTTCTCTTTCGTTGTAACAACCATAACATCCACATTCACATATACATTCACATTCACATTCACATATACATTCACATTCACATATACATTCACATTCACATTACATTCACATTCACATTCACATATACATTCACGTTCACGTTCACATTCACATATACATTCACATTCACATATACATCCACATTCACATATACATTCACATTCACATTCACATTCACATTCACATTCACATTCACATTCACATTCACATTCACATATACATTCACATTCACATTCACATTCACATTCACGTTCGCACTCACTTCTTGAGGTCGGTCCGGGCAAGGTAGTATGTGAAGATCGTGGAGAGAGCGAAGTGCGGAAACGGCATGCTTGCAGCTCTTCCTTTTGTTGAGCGAAGTGTGGAAACGACATTCAGGTGTATTTTGAGGCGCCTCAACGTTCACCACACTCACTTCTTGAGGTCAGACTGGGCCAGGTCGTATGTGAAGATCGTGGAGAGAGCTGCCCCCAGGCTGTGCCCCGTGACCATGATGTGATACCTGGTGACATGAGGGTGGGATGATGGGATGGGGCATGATGGATGATGATGGGATGACGGTGATGAGATTGTGATGATGGCATGATGATGATGGCATTATGATGATGGCATGATGATGATGGCATGATGATGATGGCATGATGATGATGGCATGATGATGATGGCATGATGATGATGGCATGGTGATGGCATGATGATGATGGCATGATGATGATGGCATGATGATGATGGCATGATGATGATGGCATGATGATGATGGCTTGATGATGATGGCATGATGATGATGGCATGATGATGATGGCATGATGGTGATGGCATGATGATGATGGCATGATGATGATGGCATGATGATGATGGCATGATGATGATGGCATGATGATGATGGCTTGATGATTATGGCATGATGATGATGGCATGATGATGATGGCTTGACGGTGATGGCTTGACGGTGATGGCTTGATGGTGATGGCTTGACGGCGATGGCTTGACGGTGATGGCTTAATGTCATTGTTACGAGAGGAAACACACGGGCTATACTGATGGGTTACCTGGAGGCAAGATGTGCCACGTAAAGTCGTGGCTCCTCTTTTGGGGTCAATCTGGCTCACATTTCAGTGGCGGAAGAAAGGATTGCTTTGAACAGCGGAATGAGGCGTGGCGTCACGGATTTGAGTTTCGAGATGTCTCTCAGAACTCGATCCCAGGTTCACGTTGGTTCGAAACTCACTTTTCGTTGGAGGAGGAGAGGATTTCTTTGAGCAGTGGAATGAGGCGTGGCGTCACGGACTTGTAGCTGTTGAGAAAGCCACGGTGTACCTGAGAGGGAGCAATGGGAACAGAGGGGCAAACAAGAGAGGTTGCTGAGAGTTCGAGGAGCAGCAGAATGAGGCGCAGCAGAATGAGGAGCAGTAGAATGGGGAGCAGCAGAATGGGGAGCAGCAGAATGGGGAGCAGCAGAATGGGGAGCAGCAGAATGAGGCGCAGCAGAATGAGGAGCAGTAGAACTAGGAGCAGCAGAATGAGGCACGGATTCACGAACTTGCAGCCATCAAGAAAGCCGACGTGCGCCTGAGATAAGAGAGAGCATTGGAGGGGGAGTGGAAGGAAGGGAGGGGCTTCACGGACTTGTAGCCGTTCAGAAAGCCGACGTGTGCCTGAGAGGGAGTATTGGAGAGAGGGAGAGGTATGGGGAGGTACGTGGAGGCTTGGTGGTCTCACAACCACCTAGAAATTCGTCAAGCAACGGAAGTGCTACCAACGTTACAGATACATGCATCAAACTTCGAGTCCTGAGACGACTTGTGAGGCGCCTCAGAAGCAACGGAAGCGAGTTTTGAGGCGCCTCAGAAGCAATGGAAGTGCGGCCAACAGAAACATCCATCCAACTTCCAGTCCTGGGTTTTACGACGTCTCAAAACTCGGAAGTGCTACCAACAAATACATCTAATCCAATTTCCATGGTTGTAGTGTGCTTCACGTTACCTTAACACCTGCCTTGTTGTCCTCTTCCGTTAGATCTGAGTCGAACCTGTGGTTGGGGGGAAGGGAGGAGGGAAGGGCGGAGGGAAGGGCGGAGGGAAGGGCAGAGGGAAGGGAGGAGGGAAGGGCGGAGGGAAGGGTGGAGGGAAGGGCGGAGGGAAAGGAGGAGGGAAGGGCGGAGGGAAGGGAGGCGAGTGGTGGGAGAGGATGAAGTGTATAGAGTGAGGGAAGGAAGGGAGGAAGGAGATCAAAGGATCAAGATGAGTTGATTGGGATGTTTTCATACACGCATTAGGCTTGTATCATTCAGGCTATTACGGTTATGCACATGTGTGCCACTCACTTGTTCTCGAGGACCCTAGTCGACTCAAAGAAAACTGCAGGTCCGTGAACACGTCTTTGAACTTCTTTTGGTGAGTATCAGCTGTGAGATTATGGTGCATGCATGGTTATGCACATGTGTGCCACTTGTTCTCGAGAGAGTCACTTTTTGAGAATTCTCAGAAGTACCTTCATCTGGTGAGTATCAGCTGTAAGATTATGGTGCATGCGCGGTTATGCGCATGTGTGCCACTCACTGGTTCTCCCAAAACCTAATGTCGGTCAGAACATCCATCCACGAAATCTTCAACTTCTGGAGATCCTGGTGGTGGTTGGTGGATGGGGGGAGGAAGGAGAGGAAGCAGAGGAAGGAAAGGAAGGAGAGGATGTGGAGGAAGAAAGGAAAAGAAGGAGGAGTGGGCCAATAGGAGGAGGAGGATCTGCCTGTTGGGCGGCCAAAAATGGGAAAGGAGCGAGGAAGGAAGGTGGGATAATCAAGGTGAAAGTGAATCCTGTGCATCCTTCAAAGCTTTTGGAAATTGTACTTCTTTTTTTTCAGATAGCACCTCCACCTGTTTATTTCCCACCTGTGGAATTCCCACCTGTCCAGTTCCCACCTCTCCAGTTCCCACCTCTCCACTTCCCACCTCTTCAGTTCCCACCTCTTCAGTTCCCACCTCTTCAGTTCCCACCTCTTCAGTTCCCACCTCTCCACTTTCCACCTCTCCAGTTCCCACCTCTCCACTTCCCACCTCTCCACTTCCCACCTGTCCGTCGTCGAACGAGGTGTCACTTACAAACTCAGTGCCTCGGAACGACACCACCAGCCTCTTCCTCTGCGGGTCCTTGTCTCTCCACATAAACACCTGCACGCCCGAGCCCAAATTGCAGCGAAGAAAACAGCAGTGCAGCAACAGTGAAGCAACAGCAAAACGAGTTAAACAGACTTGGGCAAAAACGTGCAATGACTACACATGCCCTGATAGCAGCAGCAGCGATAAAAAGAAGTGTGGTGAAACAACAGCGACGCAACAGGGAGACGAGAACGACGAGCATCCACAACCACATTTGCACAGAAAGTAACTTGGGAAGTGTTTTTGACCCTGAAACTTTTGAGAATTCTAAGAAACGACAACAAGAATCCACGACCACATCTGCACTGGAAGAAACTTGGGAGACGGTGGGGGATTCTGGATGGATGCCTCAAAACGCGATTCAAAACGCGACTCAAAACACGACTCAAAGCATGACTCAAAGCACGACTCAAAACGAGCCTTAAGGCAGCTCAGAAGCCACCCACCTGAGTGTCCGAATTGCCACTGCTCAGGAAACACACGCACTCAAACGCCGACTTGAAAAACTCCTGCTGCTCGCCCGCAGCTTCCTGCGAAAGGTTTTCCCAAGCGGCGAGCGTTGCGGCATTGGCTTCGGGGGCGAAAAGAGCTTCAACTGCCTGTTGTTCCGGGAGTGTGAGCCCGTAGGCTGCTGCTTCGGCTTCAGATTTCGAGCCTGCCTTGGGTACTGCTGCGGACGTGGGAAGCGTGCTGAGAAGGCTCTGAAGGATTGGGAGAGGCTCGAAGCTGGGGTGGGTGGGGAGGGCAGGGTGGCTGGGAGGGGATGCAGGAGAAGTGGGGGAATTGAATGGGGTGGGTTTGATGCACCTATGGGGCAGAATAGCACGTGAGTGTGAGAGCAAGAGCGGGACTGTGGGTGGGAAGAGAGAGAGGGAGCCGGTGAAAAGGCGGAAGTGGGAAGAGGGTGGTGAGAGAAAGCCTGGAGGATGGGGAGAGGCTCGAGATAAAATGATCTTCGAGTCGATATAAAATTCTGAATTGACTAGAAAATTGGTAAAAAAATGAAGCAACACAAGCTCGCATAGTCCACCTGCCATAGGCACTCCCTCTCTGGCGGACCCTCCCCTACCCTTCATCCCTCACTCTCCCATCCCTCACTCTCCCATCCCTCACTCTCCCATCCCTCACTCTCCCATCCCTCAATCTCCCACCCCTCAATCTAACTCTCCCATCCCTCACTCTCAATCTCCGCTCTCTCCCACCGCCCGTACCTCTCGCCGGGACCGGAGAAGCTTGTATAGCCCACCTGCCATAGGGGGAGTGAGCAAGGCAGTCAAGCAAGACGCACGGGGCAATGGACAGTCAGTCACAGTTACAGATCCACGGAATACGTAAAAGCTTCTTGACAATGGAGTAAAAATTGCTTCTTACGAAATGAATAATTGCTTTTCAGCAACGGACATGCACAGGTAGCTGCACTTCAAGGTGAAGGGACATTCGTGATCCAAACCTACCTACCCTAGATGCACCTCCCTCCCACACACATACCTCCATTTCCATGGAGACAGCGCCTGTCTTTTTGCCACCGTGAGTCAGCGAATGCCCTACAACCTCGCGAATTTGGGTGTCTGAACCTGCGCACAGAGAGGGATGGAGAGGGATGGAGAGCGGTGAAGGGCGGTGGAGAGTAGAGGAGAGCAGTGGCGAGCAGTGGAGAGCGGTTTAGAGCGATGAGTGGAGAAAAAGGATGGAGACAAGTGGAGGGCCTAACACACCATCACCCTCACATTTGATTAAGTCAGTGAGAGCAATGGTGGTCGTGCCAAGCCAACCGCACAGTCACCTTCACTCACCCGACACATCCTCACCCCCACCTTTGATCAAGTCAGTGAGGGCAATGGTGGCCGTGCCAACCACACGATCGTTTTTTACATTATCGTCGTTGTCAGCATCCCAACCGTGCAAGTTGATCTGTTGATGGGGCGGTGAGAGGGCAGAGGGAGAGAAGGGAGGACTTTCAAGTCGACTCAAAAGTCACCACACTGTCCTCCTCATCATTGTCGTCGTTGTCAGCATCCCCGCCGCGCAAGTTGATCTGTTGATGGGGCGGACGAGCGGTGAGGGGGCAGAGGGGGAGAACGGAGAGTTGCAGAATCTCCCTGCCTGCCTGCCATTGGCACTACCACCCACATCAGCAGTATCACCAGCATCGTTGCCAGCATGAACGTGAGAGTCATCCGTGCTGTGGATGGTGATTTGTTGTTGATGGGGGAGCAGTGAGGTGAGGAGACAGAGGTAAAGAAAGGAGCGTTGCAGAAACGGCGTGCCATCTGTTGGCATCACCGCGAACTTCACCAGCATCGTTGTCGGCATGAGCGGCAGAGTCATCCGTGCTGTGGATGGTGATCTGTTGGTGAGACGGTGAGGGGGCAGAGGGAGAGAGAAAGACAGGTTGTCGCAATTGCCCTTTGAAATATATCCCAACATCATCAGCAGCATCAGCAGCATCAGCAGCATCAGCAGCATCAGCAGCATCAGCAGCAAAATCAGCAGCATCAGCAGCATCAGCAGCATCAGCAGCATCAGCAGCGTCAGCAGCATCAGCAGCATCAGCAGCATCAACATCATCAGCAGCATCAGCAGCATCAGCAGCATCAGCAGCATCAGCAGCATCAGCAGCATCAGCAGCATCAGCAGCATCAGCAGCATCTACATCATCTCCATCAGGAGAGGAAGATTCACCTGGGGCCAACAGAGCACCACCTGGGGCCAATAAAGCAAAACCTAGGGCCAACAGATGATCACTGGATCACCTGAGAGAAGATAAGCACCTGAAGGAAGGTGTCAGATGGAGCAGCACGAGGCACCAGCAGCTGCAGTTGCTCGGGCCACGATGGGTTCTTTGGGCTGAGGAGAAGCAGGGAAGGGGGTAGGCGGGGAGGGGTGAAAGAGAGGCATCATATGGGTAAGTCGGCTGGCGAGGCACCAGCAGCTGCAGTTGCTGGCTCTGGGATGAGCTCTTCGGGCTAAGAGGAGAAGCAGGGAGGGGGACGAAGGAGGCAGGCGGTGAGCATATGAAGCGTGGACATGTGACATTGGCATGTGGTGTGACCATAACCGCGAGGACGAATGTGAGAACAAGTGAGAGCATGGGATGTGTCCATGCGAGTATGGCAGAGCAGGCGGAGGAAACTAGAGCCTTCATGCTGAGGGTCGCAGCAATCTGTGAAGGATTTTTCCAAAAGACGAATGTGAGAATGAATGTGAGAATGCGATGTGCCCATGTGAGTCCAACACAGGCGCCAGCTCACTTTTCAGCCGTGCTGCTGCAAGCGACGCCATTCCACGTGGCGGGCTTCCCTGCTGACGTCACCAGCGCCAGCTCAGCATGGCGCGCCTTGATGTTCCCCTGAAGTATAGAGGATGGGGTGAGAGGGATCAGGATGGAGTGTAGTGGCTTGTAAGTTGTATGAGTGAGTGAGTGAATGAGAGGGTTGAATGAGTAAGTGAGTGAATGGAAGGGAGTGATCAAGAAAGTGAGTGAGTGAGTGAGAGAGTGAATGAGAGGGTTGAATGAGTGAGTGAGTGAATGAGAGTGAGTGGTTTAGGGCTTAGTTTTGTCTAAGTTTCTGTTTGGCTTTGTCTGCTTGTCTAGAATTGCCTCAGGATCACAATGCATGTCTGTACCCCTACACATGTATCAATGCAAGGACCATTAGTGAGTGAATGAGAGTGAATGAGAGTGAGTGATTGAGAAAGTGAGTGAATGAGCAAATGAGTGAACGAGCTGCCAGACAGGGCATCTCACTCCGCGCACAGAGAGCACGAGTGCGAAGAGCTCGAGAGCAGCTCACACTTTTGAGAAATCATAAAGCTGATACAACACAAGCAGTGCATGCATCGAGAGCTGCCCTTGAAAGAGCTCGAGGGCCAAAGGCGTGGAGGTGAGGAGAGGTGAAGAGAGGTGAAGAGAGGTGAAGAGAGGCGAAGAGAGGCGAAGAGAGGCGAAGAGAGGCGAAGAGAGGCGAATGAGTGAACGAGTGAGGAACGGGTAGGTGGGAGATTGAGGGAGTGAGGAAGTGGCAGTGTGGCATGACATACCGTGGCCTTCAATCCGCGCACGGAGAGCTGTCCCTTAAAAAGCTCGTGGGCGAAGGGCGTGGAAGTGAAGAGAGCTTCGCACCCCTGCCCGTCCTTATCCGAGAGCTTATCAATCCGCTGGGGGTATGGGGAGGATGAGAGATGTGAAGTTAATGACAAGGAAACATCAGAGCACGGCGCTCCCGTCTACGTCTACCAATTGTCACTTCGATTTTATTTATTATTATTTTAATCATTGTTATGATTATTATTATTGTCGTAATTAGTATTACTACTATTTAATCATGTGTTCTGAACAAATTTTGAGACGACTCAAATCGTGCAGCATTTCGCTCAATCTCTGTCCTCATCTCCTACCTCCCAGGGCTGTACAGCCCCCTCCCTCGTCCATACCACCTTCCCTTTCTGCCTCAACCCCCCACTATCCCCCCCTCCTTACAATCCTTTCAGAATTTGACCCTCGCTTACAGTGGGAGTCGAGTACGCCTCAAACGCGAATCCGCCCAGCAGCACGGCCAGCCGCAGATCGAACGGCACACCTTGTTCCGCGATTCCCGCCGTCACTCCCGTTGTGACTCCTGCCGCGGCGGTTACTCCTTTCCGCGCCGAGGGGCTCCCCTTCCCCTCCGCCGCCTCCGCCTTAGACGACCCGAAGATCGTCAGCGCGTCCTTAAGCACCGACGCGCCGCCGCCGGCCAACGCGCCGCGATCGGCGCCGGGTGTCCCGCTGCTGCTGGCGGAGGCAAAGGGGCCGCGGAGCAGAGTCGGCCTTGGTGGGCGGCTTCCGCGCGCCGCTGTGGATGTCGGCGCAGCGGAGAGGCGGAGGCCGCCATAGGAGGAAGTTAAGCTGCGAAGAAGGCACCGGAATAGAGGTAGCGAGCCGTAATTCAAAAAGAAGGCTGAAACACTTGGAGTTGAGTCGATCACTTCACAGATGTGCAGTGGAAAGCGGAATACGGAAAGCCAGGGTGATGTTTTGGCTGGAAGATCACGGATGGGTTGTACGAGGCGCCTCAGTGAGAAACCACCTCCTGGCATGAATACGCATAGCGTGCTAAGACTGGCGTTGACTAAACGCAAGTTCTGATCGTGGCATCATAAGCTAAATCTACAGAAACTCTCATTTCTGTTTTGACAACAAATGGTTCTATGATAAGGTGATGGGACTGACAGACGACTTCTTTGAACGGAGGTAAACGCACCATTGCAGCACGCATCGAGTGACTACAGGTCTGTTCGACTGATAGTGGAGGATTGTTTGCCTTGAGAGAGACAGCTTGTATCGGGGATGACGATCCAGTGGGGCCTTGAGACCAGCAAGGGGGGCGAGCGACACGGAGGCAGCATGGAGCGACGCCATGGCGTGAACGCTGCCTGTCAGACGCGAGAGTTTTCCAATGAGAGCGCGAACCCTTCGTTCCAGAAAGTGCGTCTGATCCGAACTAATGGAAGCGGAACCAGAGCGTTACGGTGCTACGAGGACTTGGGGAATGGGGGAGATGCTGCTGATCGGCGGATTGATCTTCGCCGTCTGATGCGCATAGTGTGCAAACTTTGACTATCCAAGGTGGGCCATTGCATTGCTGCCGCCTAATGTGGGCAGGGAGGATGAACCCCCCCCTCAACAACGTCCATTCATCCATGTACAGTCTCTGTTTGTTGCCGACCAGAACGGACAGAACGTCCCTAATAGATTGTCCAGAAGCGGAAGAAAGCCAGCCGCGTGGAGGCATCGCATCGCCACTTGTTAGCTACAGCCAAAAATCGATGCTCTGTTGGCGACTGCCGCTGCCAGGAATGCCCTATCTAGGTGATCTGAATTCTGGAATGTTTGAAGATGGGTGGGAACGGCGTAAGAGAAAAAACCTCCTGAGGGGAAATTACTTACTAGTGTACTAAGTGAAAATACTCATCACCCTCGATTGGGTACTGCACTACGTGGAGGGGGTAAATTCCGCTGAACGAGCTGTAGTTGCGAGGCGTCCATTAAAGAAGAATGCCATATAGATGGCCAGGCCAGGAGCGGAGGAAAGCCGGCTGTGTGGATGCATCGCATCGCCACTTGTTAGTTACAGCCAAAACTGGATGCCCCGCTGATGACTGCCACTGCTAGGGATGCCTAAGTGATAAGAATTCTGGAATTTGTTGGGGGATTGGTGGGATGGGAAACGGCGGAAGCTAAAATCTTCCTTGATTGTATCGTACCGCACGATGTTTAACGTAAATTCTGCCGACCGAGGTCTCTAGTTGTGAGGCATCGACAAAAGAATGCCTAATAGGTCGGCCAGGAGTGGAGGAAAACCGGCCATGCGGATGTATGGTATCGCCACTTGTTAGTCCAGCCAAAAATGGATGCTCTCTTGGCGAGGCGACTGCCACGGCAAGTGCCGAAAACAACGTTATGGAAATTGGAATTTCCTGAATGAACGCTAAAATGGGTGCGGAAATAGCTGCTGAATGGCCGCTGAAATGGCCGCTGAAATGGCTGCTGAATGGGTGGTGTGAGTGGGTGCTTCTGAAAGGTGGCTGAATCTGGAAGAAACGCAATTTTGAAAAAAATGGCTGGAAGCGCCTGTTGCGGAATGGCGGAGGAAAGGAGGGTGGAATGGTGAGGGTGCGGGTAGGATGGGATGAAAATCGAGGGAGAATCGCGGGAGAATCGAGGGAGGATTTCCTCTGGACGGGATTTTGCTTCCGCCGTTTCCCTCACGCTCGCCCTGGTTGGGCGGATGGGGATGAGGAAAGATAGGATAAGGTTTGCGCGCGGCATTTCAAACTTGGATTTTGCCGCCGTAACTCGAATGCAATCGCGATGAATTACCAAGGCAGCGCCTGACACACTGAACATGCGGAACTCATTGTGGTTATTGGGAGACTCAACATGTACAAATATATGTCAAATGCAATGAATGCATGTACCCCAGCATGTCGCCAGCTCCTTCCATATGCAGCCAGCACAAATGGCGGGCCTAAAACAGGGGAAGTGTAAGCAAAACACCCCTCTTCACTGCCCCCCGCTTCCCACCAATGATAGCATCAAGTGCTACCACTATCACCAAGGTGTAACAAATACCAGACATGGCAAGGCAATGCCAAGTGCTGGCTATGTATCTTAGAAAATAATATATTTGCTATGTATCTTGAAAAAAAAACATTAGTTGTAGCTATATGTTGGCTCCACCAATGGTATCATCCATAAGCTCTTCACAGTACTGCCTCGTGACATCTGCCATGTGCGCGGATGGAGTGAAGGGGTGGAAGATGAGCTCCGAGCGAATACATAAACAAATGCCAGGCGTAAAAAGGTGAAAGCATTAGGTAAATGGAACGGAAACACCTGCGATCCAGAGTTGGGAAAGGCTCATTCCAATAAAACAAAAAGGCTCAGCAAGTATTCGTGGATGGATGAATGCCAGGCCGGTACTGTGAGTGTCGAGGGTAGCTCGTGCATGCATCCAGTTGGTGCGTATCCAGATGGTACAAAATTCCAGATGGCGAGGATAGCATAGAGTGCATGTATGCATGCCAATGAAGTCTTATCACGGCACTCACCTTGCTGCACTGTACAGCACTGCGCAGCAGAGCACCACACCGCACTGCACTCACCGTGTTGCATGGTCAATGCAGGCTTGGGTTCCGAGAGCGTTCCAACCACCTTGGCTGGTGTGCCCGCCACCATGCTGTGCGTGGAACACGGATGGGGAATGAAGGAGTGGCGTAAGGGAAGGGGCAGTAGTGAAGTTTGGGTCCATGCACGATTGGGTTCCGAAAGAGTGCCCACAACTTCGGGTGGTGTGCCCGCCAACATGCTGCGATGGCAAAGAAGGTTAAGGGGAAAGCGGGGGGAATATGAAAGCGCAAGTTTGAGTTTTGAGGCGCCCCATAGGTTGATGGAAAGCGAATGGGCAAGATTGAGAAAGACAATAACGAAGAACATGTGTGTTTGATTAGGAGTGATTATAACAAGTCATTCAGCCAGCAGCGATCACGGAGCCCTCCCATCCCTGAATGGCTCAATGTGGTGCCTTCTGATCTGATGTGGTGCTGTTGAATTCACTCGAAGGCCTGCCTCCAAAGTCACCAGCCAGCTGTACAAAGCATACCTGTGGGGAGGCACGTCCTTCAGAACGAGCGATCCAGCAGCGATTGTGGAGCTGATGACAACGATGATGCCCGATGCTGATGATGGCACTAGCTGTGGTGCTGTGGATACCTGTACCTGTAGTGAGTATACCTGTAGTGAGTATACCTGTAGTGAGTGTACCTGTAGTGAGTATACCTGTAGTGAGTGTACCTGTAGTGAGTATACCTGTAGTGAGTGTACCTGTAGTGAGTATACCTGTAGTGAGTGTACCTGTAGTGAGTATACCTGTAGTGAATATACCTGTAGTGTAGTGAGTATACCTGTAGTGAGTATACCTGTAGTGAGTATACCTGTGAGGAGGAACATCCTTCAACACGAGTGACCCAGCAGCAATCATAGAGCCCTGCCCGATGCTGATGTTGCCCAACACAGTGCTGTGGGATTAACCATTGAATTGACTTGAGCGCCTGCCACTACCACCACATGCCACCAGCTGTAAAGAGCATACCTGTGAGGTGGCACGTCCTTGAGAACGAGGGACCCGTCAGCGATCATGGAGCCCTGCCCGATGCTGATGTTGCCCAGCACAGTGATGTCGGAATGAGTTGAAGCCCTGCATTGACCACCACCGCCCATGGTCCTATGGCAAAGCATACCTGTGAGGTGGCACATCCTTCAGAACAAGGGACCCAGCAGCAATCATAGAGCCCTGCCCGATGCTGATGTTGCCCAGTATGGTCGCCCCCGCCCCGATCAGCACATCCTCCTGGACCTTAGGGTGCCTGTCGCCCGCCTCCTTGCCCGTGCCTCCTAAAGTAACTCCCTGAGGGGAAGGCAGGTGAGGGATGGATGGAGGATGCAGGGAGAATGAGTAATGTTGCCCAGAACAGTCGTCCTCGCCCCAATCAGCACGTCCTCCTGGACTTTAGGGTGCCTGTCACCCGCTTCTTTCCCCGTGCCACCCAGAGTCACTCCCTGGTAGATAGAGGAAAGCACGGTGGGAGGGTGGTGAATGGAGAAAGACATTCAGTGATATCACTCACTCTAACCTGCAATGACCTTTCGAGTCAACTCTATCCTATACCCCACACGATTGGCTAAAAAAAAAAAAAAAATCCCTCTCTCTCTAACCTGCCGCACTGACACCCTATCCCCCACGATCGCCGTCGTCTCGCCAATCACCACGCCCGTGCCATGGTCCATCAGAATGCCTCTCTGCTTCCGTGCATGCACACAACTCAGCTACTCAACCACTCTGAACCTCTCTCGCTCTCTCCCAACCTCTCTCACCTGCAGCAGAGACACCCTATCCCCCACAATTGCAGTTTCTCCAAATACCACGCCCGTGCCATGGTCCATCAGAACGCCTCTGCTGCTGCCTAGCAGACCACACACTGCTGCAGAACACATTTGAGGCGCCTCAAAAGTCTGCTGCAGCACACACACCCCTTCCATTCCATTTAACCTGCAACAGTGACACCCGAACCTATCCCCCGCAGACTTGACTAAAATGTGTTCTTTCCCCCCTTCTCACCTGCAGCAGCGACACCCTATCCCCCACGATCGCTGTCTCCCCAATAACCACCCCCGTGCCGTGGTCCATGAGAATTCCTCGCCCGATGCGGGCTGCTGGGTGGATGTCCACTGCAAACACCTGCGAGGATTAGGAGGGGTGTTGGGGTGAGGAAGGAGGGGTGATGGGGTAAAGGGTGAGGTATTGGGAGGGTGTGGGGTGCCATCACATGGTTGCAAGTGCCATGATCCATCAGAATGCCTCGCCCGATGCGGGCTGCTGGATGGATGTCCACTGCAAACACCTAAAGACGAGGGAGGGGTGTTCGGGTTGGGGGAGGGGGGGAATGGGTGTGTGCGCGGTGCCATGACATGGCACGCCCATCCCATGGTGTGCTGATCCAATCACAACGCCCGTGCCATGATCCATCAGAATGCATCGCTTGATGCGGGCTGCAGGAATGGATGTCCACTGCAACACCTGCGGGGGAAGAGGAGGGGCGTGGGGAGTAATTGAAGAGGTGTGTGGGCAATGCAATATGATATGACTGTGGTGGTTCAATGGAGGGGCGCTAAATGCAATAACAAACAGTGGTTCCAGCTTCCAACCTCAGACATGGCAGCAGAGGATGGCAGCGATTTTTGAGGCGCCTAAAAAAGCTTCCAACCTCACACACGGCAGCAGAGAACTGCAGCGCAACCGCCAGGATGCGTCGACCCCGGTTCCCGACTACGCCAGTGTGCTCGCCGGAACAAGAACGCTCCCTGCGCTGATTACACAAAGAATCGTACCTCGGATATGCGAGACATGCCCTACCTCTGAGATGCCGGACTGCAGGGCAACCGACAGGATGCGTCGACCCCGGCTCCCAATCACGCCACGCCAGTGTGCTCTCAGAGAGGAACCAGAACCAAGAATCCTATCCCTGCTCTGATTACACCAAAATTCCTATCCTACCTCGGATATGCCAACTGCAGCGCAAGCGCCAAGATGCGCTGACCTCGGTTCCACAAGGCATGGGCGATACGGTACGACTGCAAAGCGTGGTATCCCTGGGAGATGAGGGAAGCAGACAGTGAGAGGGAGATGGGGGGGAAGTGAGAGGGACACAGGACACAAACAGTTGAGCTGAGTGAATGAGGTCAATGCGGTCAAGGCATGGGCGATACGGTACGACTGCAAAGCGTGGTATCCCTGAGGGATGGGTGGGCCAATCAAAACAAAGCAGCGATTGTCTATGAGTAGGATAGCTTGGGGAGTAGGGGAGGGGGGCAGGGAGGAGCAAGGGCCAAGAAAATGATCTCGACATAAACAAGCAGAAAATTGAACTCTGCTTTCTTCCCCTGTCATCATTTTCCACATTTCCAGACCACACCCAGCACCTCCCGGACAGAAACACACTCAATACTGTGTACACAGTAAACCCCACCTTCCTCTTTCCCTCTCGCCTTGAATTAGAGGAGGGCGTTGGCGTAGGAGCGGCACGAAGGATCCCCATCCCGATCCCGCGCAGCCACCCAGCATTTTACAGCAGCTCCCACCCAACACCCGCAGCACCTCGCAGCACCACTCTCGTCACCACCACCACCATGCAGTACCACTCACCTTGTAATAGAGGAGGGCGTTGGAGTGCTGCATGCACATTGCTTAGTACCTCCTAGCACCACTCCCAACACTGTGCAGTACCGTGCTGTACCGTGTTGTACCGTGCAGTACTGTGTAGTACCGCGCAGTACCGTGTAGTACCGTGTAGTACTGTGCAATACCACCCACCTTGTAGTAGAGGAGGGCATTGGAGTAGGAGCGGCACGACGGATCCCGATCCCGCACAGCCTGGCCAACCAGAGCAGGGGAACGTGCCACGTCATCAATGAGGGGCATGAGAGGGAAAGGGTGGAAGGACGGATATTGCATGGAATGGGATGGGATGGGATGGGATGGGATGGGATGGGATGGGATGGGATGGGGGAGCGATGGGATGTGATGGGATGAAATGTGGCATGAAATGGAATGGGATGAAGGGAAGAAACATGCATGGCATGGCAGAAAAATGGGTCCACACCACAGGAACAGCACAGGCACCAGTGGCCCATCCACCAGCAACTACCTATCTGCACTCCCTAGTACCGATCTGCATTACTGTTTTTAGCAGCCACGGGCATATACTGATAGGCTCCCGTTTATAAAACAAATAGTATGGGGAGAGATGTCAGCACTCATGACAGCTCCATATCTCAATCTCTCTTGTTTTGTTCCCAAAAAAACAGCAACCCTCACTGTAGCGTTTGAATCATGCATTCCGAGGCGGTGTGACTGTGAATGGGTCCTGCTGCTCAGCCGTTGCATGATATCGAACTCTGTCAACAGCTTGTTGAACACTCTCACGGTTCTAGCAAGTCGATTTTTTAGTCGACCAAGAAAAAGCAGTTCTAGCAAGAGCGGTGCACTGATACGCGAAGAATGAATGCACTGATACGAGTCAACAAGATTCAAGGAGTGTTCAACGTGATGATGGCAGAGTTGGATATCATGCACCGGCTGACCTCCAAGTACCATCCACAGTAAGGACCGTCTCAGGGAACGCATGATGCAAACGGTCTGTCGCGGGTTGCGGGCTGTACGGGAAACAGAACGAGAGAGGTTCAAATTTGGAATTGTGGTGGGTGCAGACGGGCTACCGTTTTGTTAAGCAGGTTCCACCGAAGGATCTCTCCTCGTACTGCCTGTTTTACGGACGAGAGCCCGTGTTACCAATAGAAGGTCCACAGCTGCTGCCAGCAGGAGCCTATCAGGTCCATATCAGGTGCCTATCAGGTGCCTATCAGGTGCCTATCAGGTGCCTATCTGCACCCCCCTATATAGTGACCTATCCACCGGCCCAGCGTCCTTACACACACACATGCCAACCTACACCCACCTGCACGTCCGCCCTATTAGCTGCTCTGATATTGGGCAGCATGAGCTGAGCACGGAGTCAAGCACGTCCATGAGCTGAGCTGCTGAGTTGCCAGTAGCTGCCAGCACAGCTACCTGCCCCAGTAACCCCCAAGTACCAGGGGAGCACAGTGCCAGTCCACACACCCACACGTACCTGCACTGCACATCCGCCCTAATAGCTGCTCTGATATTGGGCAGCATGAGCACCGAGTCAAACACGTCCATCAGCTGAGTCGCCAGCAGCGTCACAGTCAGGCAGACACATGCCACATGCCACATGCCACCACATACCACCTGCCCAAGACGCACCTGCACATCCGCCCTAATAGCGGCTCTGATATTGGGCAGCATGAGCACGGAGTCAAACACGTCCATGAGCTGAGTCACGAGTAAATACCCATCTGCACACCTACCCCAGTGGCCCAGGTACCAGGCCAGCCCAACCACACACGCACCTGCACGTCCGCCCTGATAGCTGCTCTGATATTGGGCAGCATGAGCACCGAGTCAAACACGCCCATCAGCTGAGTCGCCAGCAGCGTCACAGTCAGGCAGCACATGCCACATGCCCCACGTGCCTCATACCATATTCCCCTTACCTGCACATCCGCCCTGATAGCCACTCTGATATTGGGCAGCATGAGCACCGAGTCAAACACGTCCATCAGCTGAGTCGCCAGCAGTGTCACAGTCAGGCAGCACATGCCACATGCCCCACGTGCCTCATACCATATTCCCCTTACCTGCACATCCGCCCTGATAGCCGCTCTGATATTGGGCAGCATGAGCACCGAGTCAAACACGTCCATCAGCTGAGTCGCCAGCAGCGTCACGTTCTGCAGGCGATTTGCGAGAACGAATCCGATAGAGCGCTCGAAGCAGGAGTGGGCGAGGATGGACGCGTAGAGGAAACTGCTCAAGATCGGCTCTCGCTCTGCCTGTACATATAAGGAGGTGGGGGAGGAAGAATAGGTGGGGAGGGGGAGGGGGAAGGATGTTGGGAAGCAGCGTCACATTCTGCAGGCGGTTGGCCAGCACGAATCTAAGGAAGCACTCAACGCAAGGAGTGAGAGAGGATGGACGCGTAGAGGAAGCTGCTCAGAATCGGCTCCCTTTCTGCCGGCAGATTCACACACACATGGAGACGACTTTTGAGGCGCCTATAACATTCACACACGCAGGGAGGCACGGGAGAAGAGGGGAAGGGTGAGGGAGCACGAAGCCCAGAGAGTGCTCGAAGCGAGAGTGCTCGAAGCAAGAGTGCTCGTCCTCCATTTTTCCCACTCCCCCTTCCCCACTCTCTCCCCTCCCCCCACCCCACCAACCCCCCCCCCCACCTCTCTCCTCATCTCGCCTCCCTCTACTCCCCCAACTCTTCCCCCAGCCGCACACCCCCGGCCTGGCTTCCGCGCGGATGGCCGCCCAGATGGGGTCGCTCATCGAGTAGGTCGCGCTCTCTTTGCTCCCCCTTCCCCCATCCCTCCCCCCATCTATTCCCCCAACCCGCGTACCTCCAGCCTCGCTTCCGCGCGGATGGCGGCCCAGATGGGGTCGCTCATCGAGTAGTCCGCCCCTCCGCGCGCCCCCGCATCCATCCCCATCGCCCCCGCCATCGCCCCCATGCCTCCCCCCATCGCTCCCCCCATCGCTCCCCCCATCCCTCTCCCCATTCCTCCCCCCATTCCTCCCCCCATCCCGGCGCTCCCCGCCTCCGCCCCATCCCTTCCCCCTGCGCGCATCCCCCTGCCAGCCGCGCCGTTCGGGCCCGCGCTTGCCGGCGCAGGCCACGTGGCGGGCCGTGATACGTCGTCCCAGGGAAGGGGGTAAGAAGGGGGGGCTTGGCTGCGGCTGTGCATATAAGCGGGAAACATCCACGCGGGGTCAACGTCTACACGACTATTACTAGTATTATTATTACCACCACTACTATTATTGGTGTACGCGCCGCGTAATCCTGTCCATTCATCGTCCATCGACGGCTGTGAGGGTGGTGAGGGAGAGAAGGAGGAGGAAGAAGATGGGGAGTTGACGGAAGGTTGTTGCTTGTCAGACGGGAGCGGCCTTCGCGGCGGAATGGACGAAGGTTCGTCTGCGGGGGGGCTGCTGTCGGGCATTTTGGTCGCACGAACTCGCTGGTGCTGTCGTCGTCGCACGGGTTGTCGCACGATGCGAAGCCTGTTTGTTGGGTTGATCAGCCCGACCGTCTCGAGCGATACGTTGTGGTTCGATACGGTTTGGTGCGGTGAAGTGCAGAGCGACGCAGTGCGGTTCGACATGGTGAAGTCCCTAGCGCGAGCTGTATGGAAAGGCGACGCACGCAGCGACGTGCTGCCGAGGGCCGCCATGGTGACACGTGGCGAGATACGAATCTTATCGGCCTGACGTGGCGAGTCACACGACAAGGAACAACGACAGGACAAAGAATCACAAAACGCGACGAATTATACGGGAACTGAGATTAAGCTGCCAGGCTTTAGCCTACTACAAGCTCTATGTAACAAATAGAAGCGGGAAATTACCTCTTTGGCCGAAAGTTAGGTCCCTAGGTCACCACGAATTTACTACGCGTATTGTGGTGCTGCTGGTTCCTATGAAACTGCCGAATGCTGCTAGCCTTCACACCGCTGGCGGCGATTATCCTTTCTGTCAGCATAATCCATTTGCATCGGGACATTCTTGGGAAGATCAGCTCAGAAGCGCGAACCGCATTGCACCGCACCGTCTACTAAAAGAAGTTTTAATCTACCGAAGGAAACCCTAAGCCGAAACCAACAACCGACGTTCCCGATAACACGCACTCGCTGGAACAGATAACGCGACAGCAATGCTTGCAGATGTTGGGTACAGTCTCTCAAAGGTAAAACACTAACATTTCACATATATTCAAGCACCCATCAGCTCATTGACCCATTTAGCGCAAACAATGCTTCAGCATATTTACCAAGCATCAAAGTTTCCATAAGAGCTTGGCTGAGCCTTCTTTACAGGAACTGGGGGTGGACCCATTGCCTTCGATCCAGACCCACTGCCCTCAGAAGGCTTTGCCACTGATGGATTCAAGTACTTGCCGATTCCTTGCGACTTGAAGACTTTCGGCGCCTCTTTGCCTGCCAAGGGGTTGCTGTACCAACTCCCCACAGCATCCTGAGGACATGGAATGAGTGTAGCGGGAGGATACAGAAGGGGAAGGGGAATGCAGGGAGAGAATGAAGTCAAGAGGACAGGACAAATGTCAACTGATTGGAACCATGTTTGAAACTTTAAAATGCTCCACTACCCACAAAACAAATACATGGACACGCACATACACACGCACCGACGTGCACCGTACACTCACACTAGCCCCACGACACACACATAAACAAAGACACACACACTCTCACTTGCTCACGCAGCAGACACACACAGAAACACGCCAACATACCATCTCTCCTGCTGGCAACCTACACTCACATGCAACCCCACACACGCATCCGCCCTCCCGCCCTCACTTGCTCATACCAAAGCACACAGACACGTGGAAACGTACCATCTCCTGTTGCTCCTCCCACGTGGGCTCCTTGCCCTTCCTCTCCTCCTTCTCCCTTGCTGCTGCTTCCTCCGCCTCTGCCTCTGCATCTATTTCCGTGTATGGGTTGACAAACACTGAGATGCTCTCTATGGTAATGGGTTTCTGGGGAAGAGACACGGGGAGGCACGGGCGCAGAACGCAAGAAATCATTGAGGTAGACATACACAGCCTCTCTCTTCCCCCCTGCCTGCTGCCTCCTCCGCCTCTGCCTCTGCATGCACCTCTGTGTACGGGTTGACAAACACACTGATGCTTTCGATCGTGATGGGTTTCTGGGACAAGGAGAGACAAGGGGACACGACAAATGGACAGAACATCACACATGCATTAGGGTTAGACATAGAACCTAAACCCCTTCCTCCTCTCCCTCTGCCTCTACATGCACCTCTGTGTACGGGTTCACAAACACACTGATGCTCTCAATGGTGATGGGTTTCTGGGGAGCACATACAGAGAAACAACGGGACAGAAAGTAAGCACACATAGCGGTAGACATACATCCTCACTCCTCCCCCCTGCCTCCTCCGCCTCTGCCTCTGCATGCACCTCTGTGTACGGGTGCACAAACACTGTGATGCTCTCTATCGTGATCGGTTTCTGGGGAGACAAAGGGAGAGGCAAGGGGACAGAACATCACACAAGCAAAAGGGTTAGACATTTAACATACAATTCCCTTCTCCTTTCCTCCTCTGCCTCTGCCTCTGCATCCACCTCTGTGTACGGGTTCACAAACACTGTGATGCTCTCTATCGTAATGGGTTTCCGAAGAAACACAAGGAGAGGCAAGGGACAGAATGTAGGCAAGCACTCGAATGAGAGAAACACCCTCTCTCCTCCCTCCTCCTCCGCCTCTGCCCTGCATCAACCTTCGTGTATGGGTTCACAAACACACAGATGCTCTCTGAATATGGAGTGGAGTTGAGAAAAAGGGCGGAGTGCAGTGAGGTGCGGAGAAGTGCGGTGAAATGAGCTCGAGTGCGTTGGAGTGCGGTGGAGTGCGGTGGAGTGCGGTGGCATGGCAGCAGCTCACCAGAGGCCTGTCTTTATCATCCACGGCACTCCTCTCCATGGCAGTCAGGGTCTCCATTCCTCCCATCACGCGCCCAAACACGAAGTGCTTGCAGTTGAGGTACGTGGCGGTGAGGCATAGTGTGGTGGTAGTTGAGGGTTCCTTGTGACTTGACACGCACATCAGGCTGCTGACTGCTGCGACACTTACCAGAGGCCTGTCTTTATCGTCCACGGCACTCCTCTCCATCCATGGCAGTCAGGGTCTCCATCCCTCCCACCACACGGCCAAACACGAAGTGCTTGTAACTGAGGTGAGGTGGGCTGAGGTGCAGTGTGGTGGAGTGCGGTGGAGTGCGGTGGGGTGCAGTGAAAGCATCTTACCAGAGGCCTGTCTTTATCGTCCACGGCACTCCTCTCCATGGCAGTCAGGGTCTCCATGCCTCCCACCATGCGGCCAAACACCGAGTGCTTGTAGTTGAGGTGAGGCGCGGTGAGGTTGAGTGCGGTGAAGTACAGTGGAGTGGAGTGAAGTGGAGTGCGGTGGAGTGCGGTGAAAGCATCTCACCAGAGGCATGTCCTTGTCATCCACAGCACTCCTCTCCAAGGCAGTCAGGGTCTCCATTCCCCCCACCACGCGGCCGAACACCGAGTGCTTGTAATTAAGATGCGGCGCCGACTTGAAGAGCACAAAGAACTGCGAGCCATTGGAGTGAGGGCCGCTGTTGGCCATGGAGAGCACTCCCCTCTCGCTGTGGCCCAGCCGCGAGTCAAACTCGTCCTGAAACGGCTTGCCCCACGCCGACTGCCCCCCCTTGCCTGTACCAGTAGGGTCCCCTCCCTGGATCATGAAATTCCTGCAAAAAAACGGGGGTGAACGGAGGGCAGGAAGGAAGGGGAGGGGAGTGGAGCGCGGGAGAAGAGAGGGGGGAGGGGCCAGGGGAAAAGAAAAGAAGGGGAGGGGACTTGATTCCAACACTGCGAGCGTTCGAGGGAGTGCGAGCCGTTGGAGTGAGGGCCGCTGTTGGCCATGGACAGCACTCCCCTCTCGCTGTGGCCCAGCCGCGAGTCAAACTCGTCCTGAAACGGCTTGCCCCACGCCGACTGGCCTCCCTTGCCTGTGCCCGTGGGGTCTCCCCCTTGAATCATGAAATTGCTGGGGGGAGGGGGTTAGGGGGGGTGTGCGGGAGGGAAGCGGGAATGGAATGGGGGAGTGGAGGGCGTCAGGGGGACAGGAAAAGCGGCGCAAGGGAGCGACTGGTTGGACTGGTTGAGGGGGTCACTGTTTGGCATGGAGAGCACTGCTTTAGAGGACACACCATGCATGCATGGGAGCACTGCTTTAGAGGACACACCATGCATGCATGGGAGCACTGCTTTAGAGGACACACCATGCATGCATGGGAGCACGGAGGTAGCACGTACCGAATGCAGCGGTGGAAGAGGGTTCCATTGTAGTACCCCCTCTCAGCAAGCGTCAAGAAGTTCTCGCACGTCCTTGGGGCAATATCACAATGCAGCTCCACGTTCAGGTCGCCCGCACTCGTGTGCACGCGGCAGTACCCCTTCTTCTTCGGCTTCTTCTCCACCCTCACCATCTCAAACTCCGTCGTAGTCACCGGCTCATACACCGTAGAGGTAAACGACCGGGTAGTCGCTCCGGAGGTGTACGCGCTCCTGACCAGCTTCGTGTTTTCTTTGATCAGCACCCGCTGCCCTGCTGCGTGCGCGGCTGCGCGCGCGTGGGCTTTCTTCTCGTCGGTTGCCTTGGCCGCGGCGGCGCTGCGGCCGGAGAGAGCAGCACTCGCCGCATCGACAATGCTCATAGGCGGAGGGGCGCCTGTGCCTCCTCCTGCTGCTCCTGCTGCGCCTGCTGTACCAGCAGCACCAGCGGCGGTTGCTGCGCTGCCGGCGATTGAAGGGGCCTCCATTTCTCTCTGCCTCTGCAGGATCTGCTGCTGCACGTGCTTCTTCTGCTGCTCCGCTTCCCGCTGCTCTCCTCGCTTCCTCTTCGCCTTCTCCCCACCCCCCTTTCCTTTACCACCTGCTCCTGCTCCTCCCGCCCCCCCTGTTCCTTCCGCTCCTCCTCCCCCCCCTTGCTCCGCGCCCTCTTCTCCCTCCTGTGCAGCTAGGGCCTCTCTAGCAGCAGCAGCGGCAGCAGCCGCAACCTCTTCTGCTTTCCTTGCATCTAGTGCTGCTGCTGCCGCTGCTGCTTCCTTCCTCGCCTTGCTTCCTCCCCCGCCCATTAGTAACTGGGATGCACCCTGAAAAAAAAAGGAGACAAAGGGAATTGAAATCACTATGCAAGTTACTCGAATAAGTACTGAAGTAAGGTGGCATAATTGATCTCCACGAATTCTGCCCAGAACAACCTAACCATCGCAAACAAACCCGCACATCACACCCCAGACCAGATAAGCTCGCCCCAGATGGACCTACTTTGGATGAGCCGACTCCAGGCTCCTCGCCATCGTTCTTTGGAAGGGCAGCCAGGACCCGCTGAATGCTCTCCGACACTGCTGCATTCACTCCTGATGCTGCTGCGCTGCCTTCGCCTGCCAAACAAGGAACGAGTGGAGGGTAGTTGGTCGGAAAACAAGAGCTGCCAGGACGCGCTGAATGCTCTCAGACACCGCTGCATTCACGCCCGATGCTGCTGCACTGCCTTCGCCTGGCAGGGGAGGGAAAGAATAAGGGGCATTGACAGGCCACAGAAAGGGAAGGGCAGCCAGAACGCGCTGAATGCTCTCAGACACTGCTGCATTCACGCCCGATGCTGCTGCACTGCCTTCGCCTGGAAAGAGAGGAACCGGAGGGAAGGAATAAGAGGCATTCGCAGACAGAAAGGAGAGACCAGGACGCGCTGAACTGAATGCTCTCCGATGCTGCTGTGTTCACTCCAAGCCTCAGAAGATGTTTTCTCCACGAAAATGTGAGAGTTTCCAGCGCGCCTCAGACAATGTGAGAGTTTCCAGCGCGCCTCAGCCTGGAAACTCTCTGACACTGCTGGATGCTGTTACCTACCGGCTTTAAAAGGCTGACATGCATTTCCACGGCTCACCTTCCTTGGGAGCGGCGAGGTTCTGCTTGACGTGGTCGAACTCCGTGAGTACATTGGATTGGCATTCAGAGAGCTTCCTATGAAACGTTAGCAGATTCAAAGGCTCTTCCACGGCTCACCTTCCTTGGGAGCGGCGAGGTTCTGCTTGACGTGGTCGAACTCCGTGAGCACATTGGCATCCAGATTGTTGGGGTCCTGCGAAGAAGAGGGGAGCGATGGAAGGAAGAGAAGCCGGCGACGACGATCACAGGGAGAGAGGGAAAGGAAGAAAGGAAACATATTCTTTGGAGCTGCAAGGCTGTGATTGACGTGACCATCAAACTCAGTGAACACGTTGGCATCCAGATTGTTCGGATCCTAAGAAGAAGAGGGGAGGGAACGGATGGAAAGGAAACAGCAGAGGAGGGTGAGAACGAATCACAGCAAGGGGAGAAAGGACGTGGAAGGACTCGGTAATTGGAGCTGCAAGGCTATGCTTGACATAGTTGAACTCCGTGAGCACATTGGCAGGGTCCTAAAGGTGGGGGGGGGTGGGGGCGGTGGAGAGGAGGAAGAGATGGAAACAGCTGCTTCAGCATGGTCAAAGCATATTCTTGAGGCACAGTATGTGATGTATGTGATGACATTGATGTCTAGTAGTTTGGGTTCTGAAGGTAGGATTGAGGGATGGAAGGGAACAGCAGAGGGGTGAGAAGGAAACAGCACAGCGGAGCAAGAATGGCAAGAAATCAAGGCAAGGGAAGGGGCAGGGAAAGGCGGGGAAAGCTATGAGACGCCTCAGAACTTGAATTTCGCAATGTACTTAATCTGAAGCAGCACGAGAAGCGAGAAGGGCAGGCAGGAAAATGAATGGAGCAGGCAAGCAGAGAGGGGCACCCAGTAGGAAAGAACATCATGTGCATGGATAGTGATGATCCTCACATGCCTGCATAAAAGTGATGACGTCATATGCCTAGCTAGTGATGACGTCACATGCCTAAGTAGTGATGACGTCACATGCCTGAATGGTGATCACGATAAATGCCTGAATGGTGATCACGATAAATGCCTGAACAATGATGGCGTCTCATGCATGAACAGCGAGTGTGACGTCACATGCCTGAATGGTGATGATGTCAGCACGTGTGAAGGGCTTATCTGTGAGCAGCTCCTTCCAGTTCTTGGGCTTCACGTTCAGCTCCCTGATGGCCTGGTGGTGGTTGGGGAGGGGAGGGGGTGGGTAGGAGACGGGGTGTGAGGACGGGGGGAGAGACACGCACTGTATCATGAACAGCTCTCCTTCCAGTTCTTGGGCTTCACGTTCAGCTCCTTGATGGCCTGGTGGTGGTTGGGGAGGGGAGGGAATTCAATAAGATTACGATGCAGTCAATAAAGCGCTTATCAGGAATTTTCCTACCTCACCTCACAGCACAACATGCTAGTCGCTCTTCGGTCCTAAAATATTTGTTCTGTTTTTTCTCCTCGTCGCTATCAATTCTCCTCGATTTGCCATGCTTCTCACCCCTTTCTCTCACCCCTTTCTCTCACCCCTTTCTCCCGTTCTCCCATCACTCACCTCGTAGCAGAACACGTTGCCGGTTGTCTTGACAGCAACGATGTGGGTAAACTCGGTAAACACCTTCTTCAAAACTGGGCAATGGTACTCGCCTGAGGCAACACGAGCAATTTGAGCGTTACAATATAATTACAAAAAACAAAAAAAAATGAGAAACACAAAGGTGGGAAGAATAAAATTTGCGTGCAATGGGATGGAAGGAAGAACAAAGGGTAGATCAGAAACACCACAAATTCAGCAAACTGCACATGTGATGGGACAGAGGTAGGGCGGCAATAACCAACATCCGCGTTACAGTGAAACGAACCGTCGGCGTTCTTGTGGAAGTGAAGCTTGATCAGGTCCTTGAGAGCCAGAGGCTTGCCGGTAACCGGGTTACGCTTGAACTTCTGGATGTAAGGCACAATGTTACTGTGCCACCGACCATGTGAGAAGAGAAAGGAGCGGAAGAAGGGGTGTGGGAGGGGGAGCAGCAGGTTAGGGGAATGATTGCACGGGTCTAGATATTTAATAGACCACTAGCACCACACTCAGGAGTCAGAGTATACTTATTCCGTTCAGGACACAGTTCGTGTGGATATCATTAGTAAGTTGTAACAGGAATTTAAAGAAATAGCGACTTCCTAGGCGCGTAAAACAAATTATCAGCTTTGTAAAAGTGTATTAAGGAATTGGGGAAGTGAAACGAGGCTTACACAATATCGTAGACGTGACCCTCTGGAGAGCAGACTGGATCTTCAAACGGGGTAAAGGAGACTCTGCAAACGAGGATAATGGAAACAGCAGCATTGTGTAGGGGAAGGGGATGGTGAACAGGAATGGAAACGGGAAAGGGAAGGTGAAGGGGAAGGGAGGTGGGGGGAAAAGAGAAAGTGGGGAACGTGAAACGGAAAGTGAAGGCGATGTTGAGGAGGAAGGGGAACAACGTTAAGGTACAGGGGAAGCGGAAAGGGAAGGGGAAGGGGAAGGGAAGGGGGAACGACGGGAAGAGTAAGAGGAAGGGAAGGGGGGGGAAGACGAAGGCAACCATAAGTTTCAGGACGCAAAGGTCAGTCACGTATGCACAGAAATTGAAGGGGAGGCGGCGGAAGTGGAAGGAGAAGAGGAAGGGGCGCGGAGCGGGAAGCAGAAGCAGAAGCGGAAGGGTCAGTCACGTACGCACAGCAGTAGAAGGGGAGGCGGCGGAAGGGCGTGCGGGTATCTTTTGCCTTGGCTCCCCCCCACTCCGAAGCCCACTCCGTTGTTGTGATGAACATGCGATCCTTGCTGTGCTGCTTCTTACCCATCTTGGCCGACTATGAATGGTACCGGATGTGCGTGTAGCGGAGACGAGGATGACACGAAGGGAACCAGCGATGCGGATGGATCCTTAAAGACGAGCCGACTGAAATGGGCCCGCTAGCAGATCAGAAAAGCGAGGAGACGGCTCGGTAACTGCGCTTTCTCCTGGAAAAAGTACAGTCGCAGTCACGCTAAATGGAAGCAGCAGCCCTAACAAAGTTTCGAGCACGACAAGACTCCTATACTAGCAAATCCGTGTTTCAGTTGCTTGTTTCAGTATCCGCAAACGTGTAACGCTGAGTTCGCTTGCCACTGCACCTAAACAGCGAATCTAAGCCTAACGAATATTGTCGCGAAAGCTCCTTGGCGAGCCTCTTCGTCGCAAAAGCAAGTTAGAGGCAACAGGGTTTCCTCTGCGACCCGCAACCTCTTTCGTCAACCCGCTGCACCTCGCGAAAATTCGTCAGCCTCCAACAGTTTTCCTGGAGACAACGTAGTGTCCGCAGGGATCTTGAGCGATGTTCAGTCCGTGACAACATTCTCGCATTGCGAGGAAAGCCCGGTTACAACGATTTCTCCTTGCCAATCAGGACCCGCTCGTCAGCCAGGTCGCCAATCGCAGTTCCCAAGGCTCAGCGGGATTGGTCAGGAATCCTGATTCCAGGTCCCGGGGCCCGACATTTTTTTTGGGCGAGCTGTTTCGGGTGGAGTTCCAAAAGTCGGCAGGCCCTGCACTTGCTGGTTTGGGTCCAGTTGAGTTATATTCGGTTCAGATGGTTTAAGCTGGTTTCATCTGGGTTCATTTGGGTTAAGTTCTACAAGGCTGGTTTGGGCTTCAGGGTGAAGCTCATATCTTCAGAGCCATTTGTTTCGCTCCAGAAATTTCCCGCCAAGCTTTAGGCTCGCTCACACCTTCTCACAGACATCCATTCAGTTCAGTACCATACTCCATTTCTGTGAGACGCTATGTGCAGAATCCCCAGCATTTCCCGCGCTGGTGGACTATTTCTTCTGCTGTGTCGTGTACCAATCTTCAGCATTTCTTTTCGTTTATCGTAGGTCCTCCTCCTAGAACAATATCTGTATATTTTCTTGTATTTTCACGGGGATTCGTCACCATGCTTCTCAATGAGGACCTTCCTGATTTTCCGAATCCGTTTGACAACGCGGGAGACTATTCTCTGGGTTTCGAAGTGAAGACCCTCAAGGAGCAGCTGCTATGCCACGTCATGGGAAGCATTCGAGAAAAGACGGATTGGATGAGGAAGATCATGGACGATGTGATTGTAGCGAAGTGGAAGGAGGAGCTGACGAATCCCGTTCGGCCGGCAAAAGCGTACTTTGTGAGGGAAGAAAGGGACGTGTCGCTTGAAGATCCTGCCAGCGTGGTTTCATTCTTGAGGGACAACGGCAAGCGGATTGTCAAGGTGAAATATCTTGCCATCGCATGTGCTCCTCAACCCCTCCCCCTCAACACCTCCCTTCCACCCTCCTTCCCTCCCACCCCCCAAGTCAATGCTGATTATATCGAATGTTGGGACTTACTTTGCTGACTCTATTCCGCATGCATTCCCTTGATTCCTCTCCGATCAGGTGGACCCTGATCTAGTCGACTACGCCATTGAGGAGCTTCGCTGGCAGGCTACCACTCACCACCCCTCCCCTCGGGCCACGCCAGTCACACCAGTCATGCCAGTTATGCCTGAAGTCATGCCAAGCGCAGTGGATGGCGTCTACCTCATCCCGTCCGCCTCCTTCCCACCTGACGTTCTCCAGCCGTTTCTGGAAGGCATGCATCGCCTGGAGTCGGTTCCCGAGGATCAGATTGACTACCATCCAGGGTCGAACAAGCAGGTCATTGACTTGGTCCATCCGTCACTCCACTGCCTCGTGTACGGCCGAACCAGAGTCATTACCGACCCTGACTACACCACTCTGGATATCCTGCCGTGGGACCAGATGGTCAGTGAGTTAGGCTCGGTTGCCGACGCTGGTGAACTTGCAGGTTTGGCAACGGATCCGGAGGAGGGAAGTCAGGCTGGCGTGAGGAGGAGGGTGGAAGACGAGTTTTTTTCAGATACATTTCAATGGCTTCCAGCAGAGATTGACGTTTCTGAGGACGGTCAGAGTGCAAAGTTTCGGTCGTACATCAACAATCTGCATCCGCTGGAGTTTGCAGAGACGTATCGAAGCCTGGAGAAGATATTTGCCTTGGCGTTCGTGCCGCTGTTCAATAAGGTGCTGACAGATTCTGCCAACCCACGACCACTGCGGATCACTGCCGACCCGTACAGGTATTGCTTGGCTGAGAATGTGTTCGTAATGATTCCGTCCTGCTTTCCGCTTATCGTAGTGTCATCTCATGGTGACGACTGTGCGTGCTCAGCAAAAAAAAACCCATTGAAAGCTCGCTATGAGCCAGCTGCCTAACACCGCATGCGTTCGTTTGCCCAATTCTTCCCCAACCCACTGCAGCTGGTATGAAGGCTGGAGGGGTGATCGGGAGTATGACTTAAGTGATGATGACGACAACGAGGCATATATAGAAGACAGGGAACCCATCCAGCCGGAGGTACCGGACTTCTCACCTCCCCCAGAACCACCCATGGAACGGGTGGTGGAGCTGCAGGGCAGACGGTTACAGGTGATTGTGAAGGTTGCTTCCATCTGCCTCACCCCGGACCAGCCCAAATACCCTGGAGGCACATGGCATGTGGAGGGCATGAGGAATGAGAGCATCGTGGTGAGTCATTCTCTGCTCTCACCTGTACCAGCTAGATTTATCGCTGATAGGGTTCCATCTGCCCTACATGTTCTTGCCAAAGTTCATTGACAACCCTCTGTCCTCACAGGCCACTGGCATCTATTACTACGACATTGAGAACATCTCGGAGTCGCGTCTGAGGTTCCGACACACGGTCAGAGAGCCAGACTACGAGCAAGACGACCGAAAGGGAGTCCAAATGGTCTACGGGCTTGTGGAAGAAGGTTCACTCGTGCAGCCACTAGGCTCGGTCCAAACCTCCGTGCCAGGCCTGTGCCTGGCCTTCCCAAACCACTACCATCACTGTGTAGCTCCCTTTGAGCTCGCCGACAAGTCCAAGCCTGGGCATCGCAAGATCCTTGTTTTTTTCCTTGTGGACCCTAAGACAAGAGTTGTGTCGACAGCACGTGTGCCTCCTCAGCAGCTGGCGTGGAGGCGCAAGGAGCTGGACAGGAAAGGGAACCCATGTCGGAGCCTGCCTTGTCTTGCACTTGATATGGTCGCAGACAGGCTGATTACGGGTTCATCGGCAGTTGGAATGAGTTTGGAAGAGGGAAGAGTTGATGGAGGAAAGGAACGCACTGGTGAGGAGGGCAAATGAGGAACTGTTGGAGCGGCCTTTCTCACTTTGTGAACACTAGCATGGCGTGTCTGGCCTGTATTTATAGTAATGTACTGTATAAAGACATACATATGACCTGTCACAGGAGAAATTATATACAGTGTCATAAAAATATAATGAATACATGAGAAAGCCAATGAACTCTGCGTTTCACATTGCTTTGCTCCATAAATTCGACACTGACAACCACCCACCATAACAGCTATCCAAGTTGCACAACTGTGCGCTAGGCACTCACCCACCATAACGGCTAATTGAGTTGCACTGAGTGGACGGCTCTAAGCCTGACTCCCTACAAATGGTTTCAAAAACTGGCAACCGGCGAGGGCTGCCAAGAGGGGTGGAAAATGCACTTCCCACAGAAGATGGCGTGCTCCTGGCAGCAGGAAGAGAAAGCTGAGACTTCAAGGGAGATGGCACGAGGCCAACAGATCCAGAAATGCGAGAGCTGGTCGTGTTGAGCTGACTAGGAGAAGCTCCAACAGCTGGAGAGCTCGCCGCTGACGTGGAAGCTGAGGTATAATGAATGAAACGGCATCGCGTGCCATATGGACAGGTTCCATTCAAGTTGAATGTTCTACAAACCTGCAAGGGGGTAAACCAGAAATGCATGACCAGCCACTCTCAAACGCCGGCAGTAACCCAGAAAATCTAGTAAATGGCTTACCTCAGTCTTGTACTTGGGATGGCGTGCAACAGCTCGCAGCTCCTCCCTTCCATGTGCAAACTGGCACTTCCCTCCATAACGACAGGCACCCGTCTCTTCCCAAGACCGGCACAGCTCCGTCTTGTACAGCGGATTGGTTGGACTAGCAGCGCTGGCAGCAGCATCTGCCGCAGCAGCTGCTGCAGCTTCTGCAGCAGCAGTAGCAGCGACTGAAGGAGAAGCAAATGAATCAAGAAGTGCTGCACTGGAGAGAGAGCGGGCCAGCAGAGTAGCAGTTGGAGGAGCAGGAGATGAGGGACCTGACATGAACCCGGAAAAAGCTGAGGCTGGCACTGCTCGCAAAGCTCCCCAGTTTTCCACCTTCAAAAATTCATGAAGCCTACCAGCTGGCACAACTTCCTGCCCAGGAGTGGCAGAACCCCCAGGTACAGCCAGGCTGGAAGATGGAATCTCAGATGCCAGGACTTCTCCTAACCAAGGCTTCTGCCATCGTACAGTTCTATCAATCGTTGAAGCAGCCAAATAAGTTGGGTCCGAATCAACAGATGGTAACAGAGGTGCGGAGCGTGGCTGGTTGGTTTGAGAGTTGAAGGAACTGAGCTGTCCCAGAGGAGCTTGAACTGGCGGGATGGAACTTCCTGGGAGCATGCTCCCATAAAATCCACGAACGGCGGAAAATGATTCAATAGGCCCTGCACAAAACCAACCACCGCAAATTGTGTTCAGCACCATTGAATGCACAGAATAAAAGATCCACGGAAAGGATTTGACACACACCTGGGGAGGCAAGAAAGCTCGGAATCTGGAGAGATGGCAATGCCAAAAGAGCTGCTCTTCGAGCTCGCAAGCTGGATGTTGCAGCCAAAAGCTCAGATGTGGTTGGACCAGAAACCCCTGGAGAACCAGTAAATGACCTCCCTGAGCCATTCTGATACAGGGGTGTCCACACTTGAGGCGTGGTTGGCAGTGAAACAGAACCGTTGCTCTGAGATGAGATTCCACCCCGACTTGCCAAATCAGCAGTACGAGAGGAAGGTGTGCCTACACCACAAATTTCTAGATCTGATGGCTCAAGCGCTGTGTCACATGGCCTCCGAGAAGCAGGAACAGGAACGTCATGACTGTTCTGAAAGTTCTGGACTTCTTGAAGTTGGATATTCCCTCTAGACTTGTCAGGTTCACCTGCATAAAAATGAGCAGAATGGTCAAATATGTACCGAAAGGAAAGAGAGATAAAAAGGAAAAGCTTGCTCCGTCTTGTAAAAGCGCTGTACTAAAGCAACAAAAACTCACTCTCACTGTCTTGAAAATCAACACCTTCCATCTCAGATTCAGCTGTTGGGCTCAAGCCAACACCCATGTCGTGGAGTGACTTAATAATGAAACTGTTGGGGTTTCCGTCAGCACAATAAGTAGAAACTTCCTGCTCAAGTGACTCTTCAGCAGCAAACGCAGCAGCCATAGCGGCCCTCTCTTGATTCAGCTGGACACATTTCTGCACATAAACAATCACAGAAGGTTAACTCATGCATACAAAAAGGGGATGAAAAAAATGAACACAAGAGAACCAGGAACAGCTTACCCTGAACAGAAGATGCTCTCCAGATGAGCCTCTCGTGGCGGCATGAGCACGACTACCACAACCACGGCCAAATGACCTCCGTCCTCCTCCTCCACTCACTGCTGCTGCCAGTCCAATCTGACTGTTTGGATAGGAAGATGATGCAGCACGTGAATGCAATCCACTCTGAGAGCCGACCTCGGAGAGACGCACCGGCTCGTTCCGTCTCTCGCTTTCACGATCTGATTGGATTAGGCTAGAACCACCAAGGCTTCTTTCACTAGAACATAACTGAATCTCTCCTTCCGTAGCAGCATAGTTCTCGCCTCCGCTACCCTTCGTATCCCTCATGCTCGCGCCACGTGAGGCCGATGAGATGGCCTGCGATTGCCGGAATCCTATAAGCATGTTCATGGTCGCGATATACAGGTCCCAGCAACTTCGAATATAAGAAGGTATAGCCTCTCAAAACGGACCGCCATGTGTCATCGCTGCTTCCTTCCCGCGGAAAATGAAACGCAGAAACCTCATTGTCGAGAAGGACGAGGTGAAGCAGATAGAAACCCTCACCCACACTGACCACCACAAAACAAAGAGTCAGGTAGAGCCAGACTGGCCAGACAGGAGGCTCGTCTCCTCGACATAGCGTCGCGACAAAGTTAGCTGTCGGAATAGCAGCGGAAACCCTTGCGATGAGGTGTCGCGTTTTAAGAGACCCAGCCGTGGTGGTAAGCTCTCCAGCATGGCCCTTGCGTAGCTCTCTGAACAAATCTGCTTTCCCATGACCTCTCACGACGCTGCTTCAGAGAGCAACCTAGAGAATATCCGGGGACCCAATCATTCAGGAGCATCATGTAAGAGTCGATGGTCTCATTCAGAGCATGCTGAGAAACCAGCTCTGAATGCCGAATTCCGGCATGCAGGCGATGGGATGGCTCTGGGAGCCACGTCAGAAAGCGGAAATGTGAGGCGCTGTGGGTGGAGTGGCATTTTACTTGTTCGCTAGAGGGCAAATAAATGAATCTGTAATGCTATGCTTGACAGAAGATTTTTGAAATAATTTTATGTTTCAAGCTTCCGATATTCTCTAGTTCCGTCTGTCTGACCACATTTCATTATGAGCTGAAGGATCCGAATGTGAACGGCGGAATATGCTTCATATACAAGCAGAACACCACACGCAGACACATTATGCAAAATATGATAAGGGAAGTGATACAATAGGCACGTAACAAGTATTCTTGTGCCAAACCGTGTAGGTTATCAAGCAGTGTTGGCTGGACATGCAAACAGCACAGTCACCAGTTGGCATGAAAACCTTGTGGCTGCGATGGTTCATGCCAGTTGGCCTTGGTTGGTGCATACCGAGACTGGTGAGCGAATCCCCATAGCTGAAATAAAGGAAAGGCATAGTACCGGTACCGCATCATGAACCGGGATGCAGAACAGCGTGGACAACAAGGGAAAAGGGGAAGGCAAGATAATGGGAGAAGATTATGGATATCAGATGCACTCATTTCCTTCATATCTGACAGATCATCCTCCCTCAGCTCCCTGTACTATCATTTCGTCTTTCAACTTCACGCCTCTGCGCACCTAGCATGCTGCATGCCACCTTGTCGCACTCACCCTCACATGTCTGCCTCACTTTCGATGCTCACCTCACCTTCGAGGCGCCGCTTACCTCACCTCACCTCACCTCACCTCACCTCACCTCACCTCACCTCACCTCACCTCACCTCACCTCACACACTCTCTTCACCCTCGCTCCAAATGCTCCCTTAACCCATGCTCACCATATCACTATCTCTTCTCAATTCCACATGCTCTCTTCGCCTCACCACCTAACCCTCAACCCCACATTCTCCCCTCACCCTCACCTCCACATGCTTTATCTTGAAGTCCTCCGACTTGGAGAGACACGGACTGCAGAATGTCTCACATGAACCGCTGAACCTGCTTATGAGAATTCTCAAGAGTGAATATACTCTCACCCCCACATTCTCCCCTCACCCTCACCTCCACATGCTTTATCTTGAAGTCCTCGGACTTGGAGAGGCACGGACTGCAGAATGTCTCACACGCACCGCTGGAGCCTGTCAGACTGGGGAAACGAAGGGGGGTGTGAGGGGGAGGGAAAGGAACAGCTTGAGGAAATGAAACTAGCATGCTTGATATTGAAATCCTCGGAATTGGAGAGGCACGGACCGCAGAATGTCTCAATCGCACCGCTGGAGCCTGTAAGGCTGGGGGAAAAAGGATTTTCTCTAAGAATAGCACTGGGTCTAAGGTCAGAAAAAGGACCAGGCACTCTCAACACAAGCAGTACTAATGACAACAGAAGCGCTTGCAATTCCTAAAAGAAAGTGATTCGTTAAGAGGTTACTCACAGGTCCTCCTGCAGGCAAAGGGCGAAGTGACCTCCGCCTCCAAAGGAGAGGGCTTCATTCAGACACAGGATGAAGTAACGGTTTGCCCCTGACAGGTGTGAGAGAAGAAACCAGGCGGGGAAAAAAAAATACAAATGCAGGAATGAAGAATGGGCTAGTGAGCAAGAATAGGCACAGGGCGAAGTGACCTCCACCTCCAAAGGAGAGAGCTTCGTTTAGACACAGGATGAAGTAGCGGTTTGCCCCTGACCGGTGTGTGCGAGAAATGAAAACCAAACAAAAATGTATTCAGGAAACAAGATGCCCAGTAATGGTGGTAAACACAAAACCACATGAGAGAAATATTGGTAAAAAACTTCTGAAAACATACTCTTCCACCCTCCCCACTTGTTACCTGTAACCTTGTAGACCGTGGGCTCCCCTGTAATGGTGGTGAACACAAAGACATCACTGGATCCCTGCCACAGGCAGAGGACAGCCGGGGATGGTGGAAAAGAAAATGTGTCTTAGATGTTGAAACGATATGCCTGCCCTGTAATGGTGGTGAACACAAAGACGCCACTGGATCCCTGCCACAGACAGAGGACAGCCGGGGATGGAGGCAACACCGGAAATTTGAAACCTGAAGGTTTTGATCTGAAAAGTAGAGCGCAGCATTAATCAGGAGAATGAAGAACGGAGGTAGCGGCGACTCTGCTGCCAAAGGGGTTCAGCTGTTGTGCTGCTCCTAACACTCGTTCTTACAATCAGAAGTTGTGATGTGTAACAGCTGAATTGCAAGCGAAGCACATAAAAGAATCTTCACAAACCTGGTATTTTCTGCGATTGGAAGCCACAAGCGCTTGAGATGAGAAGCCGCCAAAGACGGTGCCGTTATCCTCTGTCACGACCTGGCGAGGTGGTGAGGAGAGGAAGGGGGAAAGGAAGTGGAGGGAAGGGGGGAGGGGAGAAGTGGTGAGGGATAACGGCATGGACGCAAAACGGCAGGAGCTTGTGCTGTATGTGCTTTAAAGAATACGTGCTTTCAGTGAATAACAGCTAAAGACAATGTAAGAGGCACGGATAGAAAGGGAAAGCGCGTAAAAGGTCACAGAGATCAATGGTGGTAAATTGCTAGCGTCAAGCCTCTCTAGACCATGCTCCTCTGTCAGAAGCACAGCACCAGGAGAGGTGTGGGAATGGATACAACTGGAGGATAAAAGAAATCGATGGTAGGGTAGATTACATGACTGAAGCAGCATGCAGGGGCAGATGGATGCCAGAATAAAAAAGGGCATAAAAACGATCTCACCAGCAGGCAGGGGCCTGGCATCATGGAGCTGCGGCGGTAGAAGGTCGATAGAGAGATGCCGTGCTTGAATGGATGGGTGCAGAGAGGTGGCGAGGGATGAATGGATAGGTGGACATGCTCTCACCAGCAGGACATGTTCTCACCAGCAGGCAGGGGCCTGGCATCATGGAGCTGCGGCGGTAGAGGGTCGATAGAGAGATACCATGCTTGAATGTGCTGGGGAGAGGTAAAGCGGGGTCGGGTGGTGTGGTATGGACGGAGGAGGGGGCGGGGGAAGGGAAGGGGGGAGGTTAATAGTGAGAGAAGAACTGGGTGCAGGATAGGGCAGGCGGGAATGGGTAAGGCGGGGATGGGCGGGAGGGGACGGTTTCGCACAATTAAGGCAGAAAGGAGCTTTGATAGAGCAATCAAGTTGAGGCACTGGGCAGACCAGGCGGGGACGTGAAGTGGAAGGGAGGGGAATGGAGGGAGGAGGGAGAGGGGAAGGGGGAGGCAAATGGGATAGCTGTACAAAAGTACACATCTGTGGTTGCACTGAGGAATCATATTCATCTTGTAATCCCTGCTTCTCCATTTGCGGCATTCATGCTTCTTCAGCTCACCTGTACAGGAGAACCCACTCGCGTCCACTGGCAATCGCGGGCAGGCTCTGACAAATCACGGAGCGACACGTGTCGGACAGCAGGAACGACTCGTCCATCATATCTGGCAGCCTGGGGCTCATCAGTGGCGAAGCCTCCAAGGAATTCGGAGATAATATCCCCCCCCTCCCGCCCCCGGCATTGGGAGATACGATCCCCCCTCTCCCAGTGGCAGGATTGGTGGGAGAGCAGATTCCCTCTCTTCCAGTGGTTTCCCTCGCAGGCTCGGAGGCTCGGGAGGTGAGGGCTTGGGAGCAACTGGCTGACGTGACAGGTTCGGACATCCTCTGCCGAAGCTGCTCGTCTGCTCCGGCTAAACTTGCTCCGGAGAGACTTGCTCCGGATATTGCTGTTGATACTGATACTGCTCCTGAAACTGCTCCTGCTGCTGACACGAGAGTTACTGACGATGCTGACGACACAGCAGCGGATGCTGACGTCGCCAGGCCCCCTTGATTCGCCCCGTTGTTGTTCTCTTGCGCATCCAGCCTGGACGCTGACGTCAGCGCCACGTCACCACATCCAGCATCGGCCGAGAGGGACGAGGACGAAGAGGACGGGGTGACTGAAGGAGAGGAGTCGCGAGATCGAGCCCCCTTTGGTCCAGCTGCAAAGCGTGATATAAACGGGGGTAACCACCCCCGCCTTGCCCCTCCTCCACTCCCTCCTCCACCACTCCCTCCCCCACTCCCACCCCCACCCCCACCCCCACCACCCCCTCTCACTCTCCCACTCTCCCCCCCAGCATCCCACTTCTTTAGCCCTTCCTCCTGTCCCTCCCCTCCCTCCTCCCCACCAAATTCACCTCCCATCCCACCTCGTCCCCTTCTTCTCACCCTCCCATCCTGCCCTGCTCCCAAACCGCTCGGCACCACACCTCCCTTCCCCTCACCGTCCACCACCCCACTATCCTCCTCCCCAACCTCTTCATACTCCTCCTCGTCGAAATCCGAGTCCACGTAGGACCCTCCAGATTCCGAACACGTGTCAGAGCTCGCCTTGTTCCCGCGCGGATTGATACTAATCAGCGACAGGAGAAACGCGGCGAGGGACGACGTGTCCGGCCCTTCGAATTCCTCATCCACGCCTAGCGTCGACGGCACGCGGGGAGGCTTTCTTCCTATCGCTCCACCCAACCCGGACTCAGCTGCAGCTGCCACGACTGCTGCAGTCGCTGCGGCGATCTGCGCGGAATCGTCACCGTAGCTCCCCGCTAGGCCTTCCCCCGCTGCTGCTTTCACAGGGGTTCGTCTCCCGGGCGTTCCTAATCCGGAACCTTCGCCTGACCCTGCTGGCACCCCCGTGCCTGAACCACTTCCTGGTTCGGCTCCAATGGCTGCTAATGCTCCTCGTGGGATGTCGTCAGGTTCTAAGTCTGCGCGTGTGGAGGCCGAAACGCCAGCATCGGAATCGTATACCGGGCCAGAGCGACTGGCAGTACTATCTATGGCACTGGTGGTAATCGTGGAGGTGGAAGTGGTAGTGGTAGTGGTAGTGGTGCTGGTGGTGTTTAGAGTGGTGCCGGTGTTTGAGCTCGTGCCTGTCTTGGAAGCTGAGCCGCCAGCTGCACCTCGTCTCATGGTGGTGGAGGTGGTGGTGGTGCTGAAGGAAGTTGCTGCGAAGCTGCTGGCATTGTCCACGGAATCGTCGTACATGACAGGTTCGGATTGACGCGCCTGGAAGAGAGGACGGGAGGAGAGGTAATAGGAGATGGGACGAGAAGCACGGTAACAGGGAATGGGAGAAAAATATACGATTTCATGGTGGCTCAGTTGACCCGCCTGTAACAGGAAATGGGTCGAGCAAAGGTTAGCAGTAGCAATCAGTAAGCTGCAAGCTGTCCTTCAATGTCGATTGGACGAAAAATATCATAAGGTGCTTGACAACCACTGAAGATAAACGTAACAGTGATGAGAAACGTTTCAATTCAAGGTCACAGCTTACCTTTGCGGGAAATCCTCCCCGTTGAACCTCTTCCGGCGGGGATTCACATTTGCCTCGCCTGCTGGCCGTCGCGAGTAGTCGAGACATCCTGTCGCTGACAGCGTCCGTCCAACCCATGTTTGTGCGGGTTACAGGGAGCAATTTCTGGCACCAACAACCGTAGTTACGCGATATTTTGGCACTGACGGGTTAATCGTGTCCCTAATCGGTCAATAACGATTCGGTTCGAGGAAGCGTCTAAAGTAAGCGGTCTGTAAATTCAGAGTTTGCTCTAAAACGAAGATAAACTCCGTGATTCGGACGATTTCTGCCGGCAAAATGAAATCCAAGCTGTGAGGCGAAGCAGGCACAGTCGGAGGAGCAGAACCGATCGTGACACTAAAGGAGGTGATAACAGGCGAGTGAAACAGATAAATGAGGATGACGATAGTGGAGGGACATTCTCATGGGACTGTGACAAAAGGGCAACTTCAAAGCTAGTCGGACCAATCAGGAAAGCTTGCCAGCAAGGCCACATAACCAGCTGACATGCCCGAGGCTCACACTGCCTATGGAGTGTGTCAACCAAGTACAGTGAACAAGCAATTTTAGATTCACACTAGGTCTGCCGCTATACCGAATGGTGTCAAGAGTCAGATAATAGCGAGACGCTGCTGTTGGGCTTGTTCCACCCCTACCTGCTGCTTTTGATTGGTCGCATTTCAGCACAGTTGGCACTCACCTTTGCCATGGATTCGCTCGATCTTGTCGCTGCTGCTGCTCCATAAGAGCGGGTGTGAGCCTGAACAATTCTTAACTAAACGCGCGTTCGAACAACTTTTCGCACCACAAAAGTATTTTCAATGCCATTGTACCCAGACTTCTCACATCCAAGCCAAGACCCAAGGGAAATCCTAACTCGTCGTCACTCGGAACCATTCGTGTCCCATCACTGTAGCCACCCGCAGTTCTTGCCAAGTTGGAGGGCGCAAGCAGGGTCACCCTAGAACGTTTGGCGTGTAAAATTCCATGCCTCCTAGGCTCCCTCTCCCGGGCCTCCTGGATCCGGAAACTTCCAGAGTTCTGCCGAGAACCCTCTCGTCTCCCCGCTTTCTAGCCATCAGGTCCGACCACCACAGTCACGAGCAGCAAACTCAACTCACCCTGCTCATTCACAAAGAGGCCAGAACAAGATGTGAAGATCCTGTTCCAGAACTGCAGGATAGGAGTCTCTTTTCGTCTTGGGCTTTTAGCCTTGAACTTGGCTGAGCCGCGAAAGGCGCTGGTGTCGGATTTTCCGGTATTCAACTCAAGGTCTCGCTGTGTCAACTGTTAGCCTGGTTCGTTACAGCCTGTACTCTATGTTCACGTCAACCCCCTCCTTTTCTCACGGCTCCGCGTCAGCGATGACGTCAGCAGCAGAGCCACCGCTTTGCCTTGGAGGCGCACACGGTATCGATCTGCTCGGATCTTCCGTTCCGACTTCCATAGAGGATCGTGATGACGTGGATGATCTGACAGAGGAGGACGTCTGGTTTCCTGGCGATGTAGACAACTCGCCAGCAGTTCGAACCACCCAGGCTGACGCCGCACGTCCACTGGCCGTTGAATCTATCGGTCGAAGTTTCGTTCCCTCCACCAGGGAACCTCTCGTTCCGCTTTCTGGTAGAACCGTCACGCGGGGTCCGACAGATGCCGTTTCAGCGATCTTAAACTCACGCGACGGCTCGTCGAGTAAACCGCTTGGCCTGTCTCTTGTTCCCACGCTCGTGGAGCCTAACTCGGGTGATAGCATCAGGGTTCCTAACATCGGGGGTGATATTATCAAAGGCTCTTCAGGCGCTCTACCGACTTCCTCCGTTCTTATCCCGAGACCGGTACCAAGTCCTCATAACGCAATCCGACCAATGACAAGAGCGTCCGCTCCCATACATATTCCTTGCTGGGGGAAGTCCTCCGCTCCGCGACAACTCGCTGCTGCAGGACCGAGCAGAATGGGGTTGAGAGGGGAGGAGCAGCAGGAGGAGGATGATGTTATTCCTCCGCACGAAATCGTGGCGAGGCAGTACGCTCAAAGTGTGAATTGCTCGGTGACGGAGGGGGTTGGGCGGGCTCTTCGCGGGAGGGACTTGGCTCACGTGCGGACGGAGATCCTTCGCAAAACTGGGTTCTTTGAATGACACAGACAGCTCAATTGAACATCCCTCGTGTGCAGGTCTTTCTGGGAGTCTTTTCCGGGGTTGAAGGAAGATGGAGGATGATCCGCTGCAGCGGTGAGGTACCAAGTTGAAGGGTAGGAGTTTTGAGGCACTTCTGAGGGGAACTTTGGTCAGCATTTTTGTTCAGCCGCCATTTGGGATGTGGTGATGGCTGATTGTCACGTTCTTGCAGACTCCTCGTGCCCGAGTCATGTACATGTAGGTTCTTGGCATTGCTTGCCCCCCCTCCCATTGCTTCATGTGTCTTGGAGTTCTGTAGGGTAGGACATGTCATCAGCAACTATATTAGAATTTGTCAATGTTCTGAAGTGTTTTTTATTGCTTATATTGGGCAATCTGCAGGTAGTACGTCAGGGGAAAAATAGGCGGAGTGTCTAGAAAATATAATTATACATGAGGAATGGTGGGATGCGTTATTCCAACATACATTAATACAATACAACTGGAAACCAAGGGAATCCTGCAATTTATCCTTGATTCTAGCGACAGCAAGAAATACTCTGTATGGCACTCCTAGAACAGCGTGGCATTCCAAGGAACAGGAAAACCCACTGGATACGTGGAATACCCTTGCGGAATGTCCGTGCCATACTGGAACGCTCCATAGTATTTCTGTGGGAGGACTCGGAAGTTCTCTCCTCGTATGGCTTCAGCCGCTGCTAGCAATCCGTAGAAGTAACTTAGGAAAAGTCCGTACATGAGAAAGAGCATGCCGATGGCGGAAAACCAATCCAGCCAGTCTATGGCCTTGAATCGCTGCATCAGAGTCGGTCGGATCTCGAGTGGCGCAGAGAGGGAGGAGGGCCCTCCTGAGAAGATTCCATCGGATTCAGTGTTTACGGGGACGGCGTAGAATGGCGCGGACGACATTCTGACGATGCGCTCGAGAAGGGTGTACCTAAGGAATTACTTCGATTCTGGGTGCAAGAAGTTGTGGAAATGGCAGCGATTAATGCGCTTGAACGATGGACAGGGACAGCGTCTTCTGAAATCTTCACACCTCTCGGATGACGTACCAGGCCAAGCACAAAAGATAACAACCTAAATGCCGTAACAGGGAAAGCTAGGTGACTGTCAAATTCACAACTATCTGGAGAAGCTGATTATTCGCACCCTAGCTAGCGACACCAGTTCAGCGGCCACAACCCATCACATTTTCTGAGCAAGGATGGCGCTGGAAAGAAAGGGTTGTGTTGAGTTGGAGCTTGGGCGGAACGGGGGAAGAACGGGGGAAAAAAGAGACAGGAGTGTGGGATCACGGGAAACAAACAAAGGCTTGCGGTGCGGTGCAATGTGGTAAGAGGGCTTCGCAGGGAGGAAAGCTCGGTTGGGAATTGGATGAGCGCAGGAGGCGCTGTCGGAAGCGGAGGTCAAGGGCAAGGAATAGGGGCAGAAGTGTGTGGCGGGGCGACGACAATTCCGGACATGGAGAGGGCTGTCTGGAGGGATTGCTGGGTTGAAGCGAAATCTCGCTGTAAAGGTCCGATGACTCTTGCAAAACTTGGTGGGCGTGTGATGCTCAGTCGAACACACCACTGCGAGAGAGTTACAATATTTTACTCCAATCAATATCCAGTCCTTCAAATCTCTCATTGATGCTTCAGTATTATTCATTCGAATTATGATACCTCAATCACAGGCATTCCTACAGAACGTCTACTCCATCCTGTTTTTTTCGCCCTAACCTCCCCAACCTCCCTCGCCACCTGAACCACCCTCTCCTCATTCACATTCGGGCACCGTGCCAGGTGGCACCATGCGATTTGCTCGCATCCATGCAGCACATGCGTGACACCCTGTGTGGTTATCCCGCTACAGGCGCGGAGGGTGAGAGTGGAGAGCAGCGGGCAGTGCGATGCAATGGTGTGAAGGAGGAGGTCGGAGAGGTGGCTGGCACGGAAGCCAGAGAAGCACATGTGCTGCAGGCTGTGGCACGACTGCACCAGCGGGACTAGCCCCGCCTCTGAGATCTCCCTGTGGGCAGAAAGGAGGGAGGGATGGGCATGTGAGATAATAGGGTGAGGAAATGGAAGTACAAGGTTCGGGGTGACTTTTGAGTCGACCCAAAGGTCACCTTGTGAGACAATAGGGTGAGGAAATGGAAGTACAAGGTTCGGGGTACAAGGAAATCAAATGATAAGGGGAAGATGACAGCAAAGGGGGGGCGGGGAGGGGAGAGGGATGAGCGGGGCAGGATAAAGAAGGAGAAAGTAACATGCATTGGGAAATACAGAAAACAGCTGGATCAGATTGAACCATCATCACTGCACACCACCCATCACCACACTACACCGAGCACCACCGCCACGCACCTGCAATACTCCACGGCGAGTGTGGAGAGGCGGGGGCAGGTGGCAGCAGCGAGCAGCAGGAAGGAATCGGAGAGCCCATCCAACCCCTCCAGCTGCAGACTCTCTAGCCCATTCCAACCCAGAGTCAATCCATGTCGAGCCAATCCGTCTCGAGCCAATCCATCTCGAGCCAGCTCCGCATCTGTCGTCCCCTCAAAGGCG